AGTTATTTCTTTCAAAGTAGTGAGCAAATTTCCTTGGAAATGGTGTCTACTAACTAAAAAGACAGTTAAGTATCTAGAAGTGAAGTTATAGAAGTTCAGTTATGGTCAGTTCATGGAAAAGGCCACTTATAACCCCCTCACCTCACTTCTGTAAAAGATCAGAAATACAAGAGCCGCTTGGCCTTGGTTTGGGAGAGTCCTGTTTTCCCCTACCTTTTGCATATGGGTGACTGGAATTTGAGACATTTCTGTCCCTCGCAGGCAAAACAACTAGGACTTGTATGTTCCTTTGAATGGGATCTGTGCCAAATAGAAAGGATGCTGTAACTGGGTCTAACCATAACTACCAGAATAGATTGTCATGAGGGGTGGTGAGAGAAATTTCAGCCCCAAACCTTCAAACAGCCCCAAACATCCTTCAGTGGCCACCTTGCTGCTCACAGGTATCAGAGGGAATATAGTGAATTCAAGCGACAGCAGCTGGAGCTGGATGATGAGCTGAAGAGTGTGGAAAACCAGATGCGTTATGCCCAGATGCAGCTGGACAAGCTGAAGAAAACCAATGTCTTTAACGCGACCTTCCACATCTGGTAATATGGGCTAGAGGGTGAGGAGGGTCTGGGAAGCACTCTACACCTGCACTTCAGCTACAGACCACTGAGCCAGGAAGCCCACCTCCCACTAAATAGGACTGTATATCGTCTCCCCATCCAGGTTGCTTGCATTCCCCATGATGGGATAGGCACTTCCAGGGGTTGGAATTCTAGAGCTTGGTGACATCCACTCCCCCAAGGAAAAGAAAAGATCTGAGCCTTCCAGTCCCATATAAACTTTGTCATCTACCCAAGTGCTGCTTTCTTCCCTCCTAGGATCATTGATGTATTTATTCAACGTTTTGTCCATTTAACTAGTATTTATTGAGCATCTCATACATGGTAGACACTGCTAAGTGCCAGAAGGGCAACAGCATACAGCATTGCACTCTACCTTCTAGTTGCTTATAATCTCGGGGGTGAAGATGTGATGGTTAATTGTGATGCACCGTGATAATTGTGAACCTCAGGGCTGGGGGACCTCTGGGGCCACACAAAGGCACTTGGCTCAGTTTGGGAAGGCCACATGGAAAGTTTATCCTGGGGTGGGGGGTTGATGTTTAAACTGAGATGTGTGAAGTGGAAGTCTGCAGAGGAGGGGGTTGTTCCTAGCAGAGGAACATCATGTGCAAAGAAACAGAGGAACGTGGGAGTGGTGAGTCCAGAGAACTGAAAGGAGCTTATTGTGATGGGAGATTGAATGTAAAGGGGAGAGTGACAGGATATGAAACTGGAGAGTCACCAGTTCCCCAGGGAGCTCGTAGGCCTTATTAAGGGATTTGGGCTTCATCCAAGGGGCAGTGGAAACCACTGAAGCGTTTTAGGCAGGGAAGTGACCTAATTACATTTGTATTTGTGAATGATAGTTTCACCTGTGGTGTGAGAAGTGATGGGACAGGGAAGGCAGTGCCAGTGGTAAGGAGACTTGTCCATAGGACTCCAAGTGGGAAAAGATAGAGCAGTGGCATTGAGTGTGGAAAAGAGTGGACAAATTGAAGAGATTTAGGAAGTCCAATCAAGAGAGCTTGGTGGTTTTTGAGGGGAGAGAGCAGAGAGAAAGCATTCAAGGATGATGCCCCCATTTCTGTTTTTGGCATCTGAGCACAGGAGGAAAGATGACAACTCACATTGTACTTAAAGGGCCCAGTAGAGGGGTGCCTGACTGGCTTGGTCGGTAGAGCAGGTAACTCTTGATCTTGGGGTCGTGAGTTCAAGCCCCACATTGGACATAGGATTTGCTTAAGTAAGTAAATAAAGTGCCAAGGAGAGCTTAGGTATATGAATCTGGAGATGAGGAGAGCCATGTATGTGAGGATTTAGGTGGGAGCAGAAGTCTGAGAAGTTGCTGAGCATTCAATTCTCCCTATACTTCCCCCTATCCTCCTGCCTTCCTCCAGGCACAGTGGACAGTTCGGCACAATCAATAACTTCCGACTGGGTCGCCTGCCCAGTGTTCCTGTGGAATGGAATGAGATTAATGCTGCTTGGGGTCAGACAGTGTTGCTGCTCCACGCCCTGGCCAATAAGATGGGTCTGAAATTTCAGAGGTAAGAAATGCACTCTTTTCTTGGGGTGTGGCATGTCCCTGATATATTCTGTATCTCCAGCCTAGTATTCTTTTCTGCTATGACAGGAGCCCTTGCTCCCAACACGCTGAGAGTTTTCTGTGTGTGGAGCCTTTGCTTCTGATTTTCCCCTTAGGACAGGGCTCTTTCCACTCATTGGGCAGTCCTTGAACTGCCTGGCCAGAGTTGTGATCCCCAACCCATCGTCTCCAGAACCTTGATGGTTCCTCAAGCTGTTTGCAGCTTTTTTTTTTCAGCCTAAATAAGACCTACATTTACCAATGAAAGGTCACCAGACAATTATATAATAAATGTACTTTGTTCAGTAAACAATATCTTTTAAACATGGAGCCTACGGGAAAATGAAAAGGTGGGTAGGAATAATAAAAGTAGTCCTTGGGTAGGATGAAGCCCGAAAATGACTGGGTTATAACATTCCGATAATCACTTTAGGAGGAGTCCTGTATCCATCTCCATATGCATCTCCATTTTAGGTATCGACTTGTTCCCTATGGAAACCATTCGTATCTGGAGTCTCTGACAGACAAATCTAAGGTATCTGGGAAGTCCCATTTTCAGTGGAGTGCAGAATCCTTGTACTTTCTGACAGATAGTTTACCTTGGATATTAGCATTTCTTAGATTCTTTCTTAGCCAGAAGTGTCTCATTATCCCATGTCTTGTTCAGTGTCTTATCTAGTTCAGGATTAGCTCTTTGAGGCCTAGAGACACAAAGTAGGTTTTTAACAGTCTGTTGTAAAGGTCCAAGAGCAGATCAGAGGAGGAGGCATATGCTAGGGTAGGAAAGGAATCACCATGAGATAGGTGTATAATACATTTCCAGTGGTGGTGAACAGTTCTTAGGTGCATTGTATTGGCCCAAGGTTGCTGTTTCCAGTGGAATAAATACAGATGAAACATGACTTAAGAGGTTGATAGGCTTGGGAGAAATGTCTGGTAGCCTGTCTTGGTGCCACGCCCTGAGCCAGTTCTTTCTCTTCTTGAGCAGGAGCTGCCGTTATATTGTTCTGGGGGGTTGCGGTTTTTCTGGGACAACAAGTTTGACCATGCCATGGTGGCTTTCCTGGACTGCGTGCAACAGTTCAAAGAAGAGGTTGAGAAAGGCGAAACCCGTTTTTGTCTGCCCTACAGGTCAGTATTCCCTGATGCCGAATGAACCTGGGGTGGGACCAAATGGACAGGACTGAAAGGACAGTAAGAATGGAAGCAAGACATAGTATAAATGGTGGGAAAGCAGAAAATGGTGCAAAATCACATAACACCGATGGGCAAAGACTGAGTCAATGCTCCAAGCAGGACAAAACCTGACCACCTGGTCCTTGAAGAGAAAGAATATTATCTCTGGTGCTTTGGGGGAGTTGCTTACCACAGAGCTCAAACTGGCCTTCTAATTTCAGAAAGCTTTTCTGCTTAAGCCCTTGGAAATATACAGGAATGCTTCCTTTGGTCAAATCTCGTAGGAGCTCAGTGATAGAGACCGTAGTTCAAGAGAGTAAGGCTGAGCTACTTCTATCACCCCAAAACAAAGCATTTCTTTTCTTCTGCCTCCCTCCTCTCCCCATGAGTTCAGGGATGCTCAGGAAAACAGTCAGGAGTACTGTAACCCTCATTTACCCTCTGCTCCAGGCTTTTCATTTGTTTGGGTGTGTGTCCCGTCCCTGTACTCTGCAATGACAATGAGGCTCTTGTGACAACCTTCTTGATGTTTGGCTTTCAAGCAAATCCAAAATACACTACCATCCCTCGCCAAGAGTTCTTTAATAGATAAAATGACGTGAATGGTCCCATGATCAAGTCCCTGCCCATTTGCCTGAACTGACTTAACTCTGATCTCAGTTACTAATGAGCTCTGCTCTGTCCATCTGCAGGATGGATGTGGAGAAAGGCAAGATTGAAGACACAGGAGGCAGTGGCGGCTCCTATTCCATCAAAACCCAGTTTAACTCTGAGGAACAGTGGACAAAAGCTCTCAAGTTCATGCTAACGAATCTTAAGTGGGGTCTTGCTTGGGTGTCTTCACAGTTTTATAACAAATGACTTTTTTTTCTTAGGGAGACATTTGCCTTAAAGGCTTTAAATTGTTTTGTTTGCAAAGAGAAAAAAATGTTTTAAATTAAATTCGGGTACTATTAAACAGCACATGTTTACAATACCAAAAAAGAAAAAAATCTACAAAAGCCACTTTATTTTAGGATATCATGTGACAGTTTCCAGAGCTACAACATGCCATGTACAGCTACCAGCCTTTGTCATAGTTTTGACTCTTAATCCCATACCTTCATTTCCCTCTCTCCCCTCAAAACAACTAATTTAAATTTGCTTTGTTGTTGTTGTTGTTGTTGTTAACTGAATTGAGTTGAGATTGATATGTTTTCGATGGGTTTTATCTCTCTCAACTTTCTGCACTTACAATATGAAATAGAAACTTTTGTCTCCACTGAGATGACGAGATGTGTGAGACACAGTTGGCCAACGTGAGAAAATGACACATAAGCTTTGGTCACCAGGTGGTGTGATCAGAAGCTTGAAATTTAACACTCTTGTCCTCACTCAGTTCTAGTACTGAATGCCTACTCTGCTCTCTGTTAGAAATATGAAATGGTGTTTGATATTGTCTGAGACATTATGGAAAGATTTAATTATTTGTAATAAAAGATTTACTGCAGTCTGATAACTGCCCAGAGGTACACTGTTGGGTTTTTTGTTGACTAAGATAGAGTGCTTTATATTCTGGGAGTATTGAGTTCAAGTGCAGGTATGTGGAAATTCTGTCGAAACATGTTTAGAGATGGATTAGTGTTAGTTTTACAAAAGACTAGTGGAAATCGTCAGCTGTACAGGAAGCCCTATTTGTGTACATCTCAATGACAGAACAGAGATGTTAAACTAACTTTAAGGGGAAATAAAGGCTGCCTCCTTGATGGTCAGTCAAGGTCACCCGAACAGTCCCAGTTTTCAAGCCCCTGGTTAATATTAATTTCCATGTCTGGTGTTCTCTCTCAATGAAATGAACAGTTAAGGAAAAGCTATAAATGTCTTGTTAAACAAAAATGAACTAACTTCACTAAAATGCCTCCTCCCAGCTCCTTGACATTTTTAGTCTGATTCGGCAAAAAAGACATGCTTGTCAACTTTCTCGGATGCAGAAAAAGGAGCGTGAAGTTGGAATACAAAACAGTTCAAAAGATACTTGGAACATTTGTACCCTGAGTCTGAGAGTAAACAAAAGGGATGAGCGCCATGACAGAAGGCTGTTTATACTTCGTGGGTTGAGCGTGCCTCATGTGTTGGAGGAGGCAGCAGCCCTCAGAGCTCTGGCCTCCAGGTGGGGAAGAACAGGCTGCTGTCGCCTCGGAGTGTTAGCTCCCACGCTGTGAGTCAGGATTGCGTAAGAGAACTCAGCAATGCTTTCCAGTGCAATGCCAGTGATGCTCTGCAAATGCCCCACAACCTTCAGAAATAGATAGATCTCTTATTACTATATAATCTCAACATGTTTCAGTGCACAAGCAGACACATTGCTTGGGCTGTTCTCTCAAACCAGATGTAAATTTTTCTGTTTCTCTGTGTTTACAGAGAAGATTAAACCCAGATCACAGTGTTTGCCAATGGCCAAATTACATTAGGACACCTTTACCCTCCTAGCGTTACCCTTAAGAGTTTCTTTCTGCTAGACATTGCATTCTGCTAGAGGTAAGGTCTGTGAAATATGAAGAGGACATCTGGGCCCTGACATTGTCTTCTGCTGGGGAGGATATACGTATTGGATCTGAACATAATGGATTATCAGAAAGGGAAGCGAACAAGCTGAACATGGTCCTGCATTTCCAGTTCCATAAGGGGAACATCAGAGAGTGCTTTTCAGACCTACCCTAGTGTTTCCTTCTCCAAATCCTGCTTATTCATCCTAATCCCCTGGGTCTTGACTTATCTTTTATAAACTGCCTTCTCTTTTCCTTTAACCGATGGGAGAATGCTTCCTACTAAGTGAATTCTGACCATGCTGGTCCTTCTCAGTGGTGCACACCTGGCTCCAGCACTCATGGTTTTGGATGAAAGCACTCGCTGCGATGATTCCTACTGCCAACAGCATGAAGTCTTCCTTCACTGAAACAAACTTTTCCCTGAGTGATTAAAACCATATTAATTTTAGAGCTTGAATGGAACTTAATCTTTCAAATCCCAGAGCCATGGGACTTCAGCTATGGGTTATGTTGATCATCTTGGACTTTTTTAGATACAAAAGGAAATGGCCAAGTAATGGCTAATTGGCCCCTCTCCCCCAGCCCACCTGGTATTAAAACATGAGCCTCCTGACTGGTTTATGGGCCTTTGTTGTCCCATCTGCCTCCCTAACAAATGTAACTGTGAGTCTTCTTACCAGTCTGACTTTACAGTAATCAAACACTTTTGTCCAAGTTCTAACCCTGTGACTGGCTTCTTTTCCTAAGTGACTAAAAGGCAGTCCAGTAATCTCAAATCTAAGCAGCAGTAAAGGAAGAACTATGAAAGAAAGTATATTAATTACCTGCAGTCATTTTAAATTAAAAGCAAAATCCTTTAGGGTTTTGCTGATTGGGCTCAGTCATCTGCATCCAAGCAACATACTGGGAGTTCATTAAAACCGGGTAACCTGCACAGGTTATCTGTGGACTGGATGCTTTATTGGGTAAATTCCATTCCCATGGTATGTTCTTGAGGTCTGCTCCTGACTTGCTGTTTCTGGAAGAGGCTTACTGGAAAGAGGTTGCCTTACCCTTGCAGCTGACTGGGGATGGGGTTTTCAATTGAAGCCCTCAGAAGGCTCTCATATATGGGTTCACGCAGGAGATAGACAAGGTCGAGCAGAGTCAGGCAGGTTGCATGCAGCCGTGTGGCTGGGACCAAACAGCCATTGTATCCTAGATGGAGCATGGGCACAGCAAAGAGCGCTAAATGAGTCCTCTAATCATGATCACTATTGTCGTCTGACATAAAGCTCCTGAGCTAATGTGTTCTGTAGGAAACCTCTAGCTGGAGGTCAACTTTAAAGGATAAAGGGAGAGGTAGAGAAATCTCCATCTGCAGTGTATATATACTTAGAGTATATTTGTTTGTTCCCCTCTTATCTCATGCCTCTCTAGAAAATCAGCTCTTTGATTCTGCAATAAGAGAATGCCCAGTGAGTCCAAATAGAAGCCAGGTGCTGAGACCTGAGTTCCCTTCCCAGCCAAGTACCAGAGGGAACACATGACTCAGTTGTCCCCGGCTCCCTGCTGTTTCTCATTGGTGGGTTCTGTCTCCTGCTTCCAAACCTGCTTCCATTCCTATTGCCTTCTATGGAAGATTCCAACCCACACCCCCTGACACACTTAATAAGGTACCTAAAACCTCCAGAAGCATTTCCACATATGCCAGGGGAGTAGGCAGATTGATTTGGAAGTTCAGGGACTTCAAAACATCAAGTTCTGACTCCAGCAGTTCTTCTTTAGTGTGTACATACCCCAGAGACTGGAGGAAATTCAGGACTGTAATGTTGCTGATAATCTGAGCAAAGAAAAAACAGTGAGAGGGAGAAAAGGGTGTCAGACTAAAAGGTCACACATCTTGGCAGAGCATAGAAGGCTTTTCACAATCCAGCCCATGCCTTTACCGCATCTTCTCTCTTGGTAATTGCCCCCCACGCCCCACGCTTGTCAGAGTGGATTACTTGCAGCTCCCAAGCCCATCCAGCTCTCCAAGTCTGTACACGTGCTGCTTCCTGTGTCTGGATCTCCCTTTCCTCCCCCTCCTCTCTCCCTGCTTTCCTTCACCCCTCTCCCTCTTTTAGCATCCATCCATCTCCTTCCTACCCACCCCTACTCCCATCAAGAAATCATTTTCTCTAAACACATTTCCTTGACTTTCCAAGGCCATGGAGGTACACTCACAGCTGTATTTACACTAATCTGAGTACCCTCCCACATTATTTGCCTGTGTGTCTTCTCCCATTGGATAATAAATTCCTTGAGAGCGCAGGCAGTATTTTCCCTTGTTGTACCCATGCTGTACCCATGGTGCAGCTTCTGGCCATAAAAGACAGTGAATATTTGTTGCAGGAATGGTATTTTGCTATACAGGCATTGGGTAGGGGTATGGAAACATGTTATCCTCTATAAATGTAACAGTTTGTCCTTAATACTGATAGGCCTGTTGGCAATTCAGGCACCTTACATAAACTGTCCTTGAGTCCAAGGGGAGGAAAGGTGACCTGTGTGAATGATGGCATCTGTCCAGCAATTATACTTTGGGAACAGAACTTGAGGCTATTTAAAAATTGCATTTCTGTGACTGTGTGTGTGTGTGTGTGTGTGTGTGTGTGTGTGTGTGTGTAGGAGGTGTGCTTAGGAAGCATAATTGCACTCTGGAATTTCCACAGGAGTAGTAACACCTAGCTTAGGAGGAGGTTTCCCACAATCCCCTTTGGACGGGCTAAACTCTCAAGTGCCCGGGAGGGACCCCAGCTCCTTACTTTGTAGTGGAAGGAAAGTTTGCTTGCCAGTTGAACACATGACACAAGACGCAAGATAAACTTGTTGAAAAGCTGCTCTTTCAGAGCTTTCCAATTCTGAGGCTCTTTCTTCTCTCTCAGCTGGATCGTGGCTTGCCTGTACATATTCTCTGCCTGCTTAATCATAAACCTGTAAGGAAGGGAAGGGGAGGGTAAGCAATCCACACTCACTCAAACTCAAGGGAGTTTGTGCTGCAAACTGCTGTATATTCTCTCCAATCTCAGTCCCTGGCTGAGCAATGTACATTTGCAATTAATAGAGGGTGCAAAACCAGGTCTTGCAGTGAAGGCGACTGTACTTTTTTTCTTCTTTGTTAAGACTTGGGTACATTAGCTGTTCTAAGAGGTACCACTCACAAAGGCCTATGCTCAGGGCTTTACCTTTCCAGGATTTCTACAGCCTGGTAGCTCACAGATTTCTCCAGACACCATTGTTCAGACAGGAGAAAAACAAACTCTGCCAAAACAAGAAAAAAGAGCCTAATTCACAAGGTGCAACCAAAACCACTCTGTGAACTCCTGGCATCGTGTAAAAGCCATGATGGGGCCAAGGGAAGAGGGTCAAGGGGTGAGAAGAGAGACTGGAACAACCCAAGCTGAGCGGAGTTCCCTTTCCTGCCAACAGGCAGATCAGAGTCACGAAAAGGAGGCTGACCAAGCACCAAAATCAAGGGCTTACCAAGCCCCCTCAGTGACCCTTGAGTCTTCCTGTGCGTCTTAGCCGATAAAAGGCTTGGCCAGCTACACACAAACATACCAGCTGGCCTAATTGGCCTCTGCATCATGCTGGGAACCTCCAGCTTCAAGGGAGATTTTTGGATGGATAAAAACCCTAGCCCCTATATTCTGTTATCAGTGGAATGTTGGCAGGAACAGAAAAGTCCCTCCTGGAGCTTCGATATTCTTTATAATACTGTTTGTTTAGTAACCACCCTCTGGAGAACCCCCATTGCTTTACAAACACGATTCACCTTACAGCTGGACACCATCTCCCCCCCCCCACCAGTTTGTTGGGTAAATCTGTGGTGACTGAGCCTCTCCCTAAGAGCAAGTTTGTTACTGTGGAGTGGCTTGTTTGGAAGAAATATCAGCTAAATCAGGGAACACGGCCCACTTTGTGACGGGGGTTGGGGGCAAAGTCACTGGGGAGGTTAGGAAGGGCAAGTTACCCTGGCAAGATCTTAGGTCGCCTCTGTTTCTCTTTGAAAGAACAGCCCCAGATAGAGTTCTATTTAGTTTGCAATATCATTAGAGGATGGAAACAAGGGTAAATGTCAGTTCTCAGCAAAGGAAGCTCCTGTAGAACTTGGGACTTTTAGCACTGATCGGCAAAGAATTACACATAGTCAAATGACCATGTGTCTTCAGAGGAAATTTGACGTTCTCAGACACATAAAAGTCATGCTAACACAAGACAGTTGAACAATTTGACACGTTCCACATATGTACAAAACCTTACTGTACAGAAACTAAAGCCCTGTTAGCAGTATCCAATGCAGAAGATAGCATAAGCAATTAAGCAAAATACCCTAGAATACATGATTGTGTCATCAGTCATTTTTTTTTGCTGGAGTTTAGGCTTTATTTCTTTGCTTTGTGTGTGAGCATATAGTTGTTTTGCTTTGCTTTGTTTTGGGTCTGAATTATCTGGGCAACTGTTTCTATTTTCTAGTTTAATTTGCCAAGAAAACTGAGCTAGGGTTAGGTGCAATGGATGATGGTTATGCTTTCCCTCCCTACCGGCTCTCCCTCCTGCACTTTACAAACATAACATCTATTATCTGAAAAGACCCTCTTCCTTCCGTTGTCTTAAGCTAGGGCTCTTTATCTCCCTAGTTTCCATCACTGTAAACTTTTTTGAAAGCCTGGCTTAAACCTGCTGCTTCCACTTCCTCATGAATTCCCTAATGTTCTGCACTTTGGCTTCTACTTTTCCCAGCTTGTTAAAACAATGATCTCAAAGGCTAGCAAATATGTCCAAATTGTTAAATAGCATCACCCTTTGCAACCTTTATTCCATTGTTCATATCACTGAGGCATGTGAAACTGGTGACCATCATCCTTCTTGAAACTCTCTTGGTTCTGTTCCTTGGTTCAGAGGTATCTTGGTTCTGTTCCTTCCTCCCCAATCATATTTTTGGTTCCCTTCATGACTCTTCTTCCTACTTTAATCACTTGAACACAAAATGTCTCCCAAGGAACTGTCCTTCACCTATTTCTCTTTTTCTCCCTCTCGGACTCATCATTCTCTGCCAGTTTTCTTTCTTTCTTTCTTTCTTTCTTTCTTTCTTTCTTTCTTTCTTTCTTTCATTTTATCAATTTATTAGAGAGAGAAAGAGAAAGCACAAGGGGGACAGGGGCAGAGGGAGAGGGAAAAAGTGACTCCCCTTTGAGCAGGGAGCTGGATACAGGGCTCCATCCCAGGACCCTGGGATCATGACCTGACCCCAAGCAGATCTTTAACCAAATGAGCCAACCAGGCACCTCTCCGCGTTTTCAACAGTATCATTATGAAGACAACTCCTAAACCTTTATCTCTAGTTCTGACCTCTCTTCTTATTTTCTTAAACAGCTCACTAGAAACCCTCCTTTAGATGTTCTACAGGCACTTTAAACTCAGTAGATCCCAAACCAAACATGTTATCTTTCCCAAACAAAGGTCACATTTCCTCCTAAAGTTTCATTTTCTTAATGAATGTGTGTATATCTCCTAATGGTACCACTATACTCTCAATCTCCTAGGTTCAACCCTTTGGCTGTGGTCATCCATGCCTTCACCTCTTAACTTCATCCATTATAGAGCCCCAGATTTTTATCTCTGAATTATCTTTAATCCATCCTCCCTTGTCATTCCCTCTGCCCTATTGCCTAAACTATAGAGTCTGCACTCCAGAGTCTTCTGCCACACAGACTCCACTGGTCTACCTCCCTCTTCTCTCTCTCTCTCTTCCAATCCATTCTTTACATCAGAGCCAACATAATTTTTCTAGGGCAAAGGCTAAAAGTCCTATCACTACCATATTTGAAAAGTTTCAATGCCTTCTTGCTTCCCTACTAAGCTATGGATAAAACTCCTCTCCTTGGCGTTCCACATGGAATGTCTCCAAACTACATTTCTGGCCTTAATTTCAACTATTCTTCCACATGCTCTGGACAACCTGGACTTAAACACTGTACCCACACTCACCCCAAGCTTCTCTACTTCCACGGCTTGACTCAGGTTATTCCCCTTTGGTAGACACTCCCTCCCCCTTCCCCTCCCTCCCCCTCCGCCAAGCCAACCAAAAGGTCATCCTTCCTGGAGCTCTACCATACCCCGACGACCCCCTTCATTCTTCCTACCCTCAACTCACCCTACCACTCCTTTCAGTCCCCATAAAAGTTACTTTTATCTGGTATGTCGCTTCTCTAACCGGTACTTGCTCCTAGTCGTCTACAGATTTGTTCCAATAGCCTCCCGAGCAGGGACTGAAACTTGTTCCATCCCGGTCTCCCAAGTGGTGTGGATGACCACTCTATACGGGTTGAAATCAAGGATAGGGCGCTGGCGGATCTTGTCTGTCACGAAATCCCCTGTACCTGGCAACTAGTAGTTACACTAACAACACTTATTTGAATGAATAAGGGGAGCTGAGTCTCCAGATTGGTGCCTCAAAGACCGGTGACCTCAGTCTCCCTCGAAACCGGTTCCCCAGCCCCGCGTCCACACCCACGATCCGGGTCTCCCTGAAGCTGCCCATCCGGCCTGCAGCCTCCTGCATGGCTTGCTCATTCTGCTGCACCAGGTGGAGCAGAGCGTCTTCGATGGTCTCTGTGGCGACAGCTCCGAACTGAAAGTCACTGAGGGAGGCCGGTCTTGACCTCACAGGTCCGTCCATTTTCAGAAACCTTTGGGGGCACCTGGACGGCTCACTGGATCCATAAACCGACCCCCTTAGCTTCACTCCAGAGTCTTCTGCCACACTCTGGATTCCTCGTCCCCTTCTGTGTGCTCGTCTTCACCTGAAGTCGGAGGAAAACCTAGTTCCCTCCACAGCCTCGAGCCCTCCACTGCCTTTTCCAGCCCCAACGGCCGCGGACCCCTCAGCCAATCAGAAAGCTTGGCCGCTTGCCGCCTCCCGCCGCCCAACGCGTGAGACCAAGAGCCGCACTCGCTTGGGCGGGAGGGGGAGAGGAGGAAACACGGACTACAATTCCCAGCGTCCCCTGCTACGGCCCAGGACTGCTATTCCCAGCAAGCCCTGCGCCCTGGGACTGCGAAGGGTGGAGCGGCAATATGGCAGCGCCTGGTGCAGGTGACCCTCTCAATACTAAGAGTGGACAGGCCCCTGTGGCTCAGCGCATCGACCCGACCCGGGAGAAGCTGACTCCCGCGCAGCTGCAGTTCATGCGGCAGGTGGAGCTCGCCCAGTGGCAGAAGAGGCTGCCGCAAAGGCGGACCCGGAACATCCTGACCGGCCTGGGCATCGGGGCCGTGGTGTTAGCTATTTGTATCCATCCGGACTGTAGGCTCAGGAGACGGCATAGGGAGGCAGGGGAAGGGGAGCAGAGGCGCGTAGTAGGGCAGTGTGGGGGTGGTAAACGGAGCCCGAGCTGTGAAAGTCTTGGCCGTTTCTGATGCCGAGCCAAGTGTTTGATGTACCTTATTTTGTCATTTTAACATGCTCTTTTAATATGAGTTATTAATAATAACGGAATCGGGGTCAGGGCTCAGAAAAAGCAGAGGGCAGAAGATCGAATCACTGATTTGGGAGGGTGTGTAACATGGGTGGTGGAGAAAGTCTAGGAAAAGGCACTGTGCATACTCCGAGAGGTTTCCTGAACCCACTTCCCCAGATGGCTACACCTTCTACTCCGTGTCCCAGGAGCGTTTCCTAGATGAGCTGGAGGATGAGGCCAAAGCTGCCCGAGCCCGAGCCCTCGCGAGGACATCAGGACCCTGAACCAGGTGGACACTGCACGTCTCCAACCCGCTGGAGCCCCTTTCACGTGGTGGATGATACCGGTGACCCTGTGGAAATCCAAGCCAGCACACAGCATTGATGGCCTCAACCTTGAACGATGATTGAGCCCAAGAATTTATTGCATTTGGCCAGGTCGAGGAAGTATTGCCCACCTTACACAAATTGTGTCCAGTCACTGAGCCCATCTTGCAGTTTGTTTCCTTTTTTGAGAGCTGTATAACCTTGGCTGTTCTCAGGCTTTCAGACTTTGTGGTTTACCCTGTTTACCTCCCTGGGGCTTAGCTGTTATGGAGGTGGCAGCTATGTGTAATGTTGGAGCCTAAAGTGGGAAAGATGGAGTTAGGTTGAGAATAATAAACTGAGTCACCTCTCTTGGAGCCAAATGGGTGTGTTGAGGCTGAGGGGTGGCATGGCTATGCTGGAAAGCTCCACGGGCAGTAGCTGCAGCAGTGGCATTGCCCCAGGGAGCTGTAAATCTTTAACTAGAATTACTTTTTCCGTGAGATCTTTCCGTCTGATTTAAGGGAGAGATCATGGTGGGTCACTGGGCTGTGTGACACTGAACCATGTCTTCAGGGAGGGAAGGTCACTCTTCTGTTCTCTACCTTTAAAAACATCCTTACTCTAACTGTCCTGCCTTTTCCCGTTCTGAGAGGGGTGGATGAAAGATGAGGGGCAAACAGGCTTCCTTCTTTTAATTTCCACTTGGGCCTGCTTTTGTAGGCCGAAGGTGGAGTCTGGATGAGATCTTAGGTTGGTCAAGTGGATCACTGACCTTGTAGTTTCCTCATGAACTGCTGGCAGAAAGTCAGAAGGCTGGGCAGCTTCTAGCCTTGCTTTCCGTTGTGAGGAGAGTCCCTTCTAAATTTTCCCCTGCCAAGCCCCATAAGGCTTTACCCACAGTTCTTAAGGCAAAACAGATTCAGAGTCACAGAATCCTAGTTTCCAGCATTTTTATTGGCTGTTGCTAAGTCTAGTGTGAGTACACCCCATACACTTGCTCAGCTGGGAGTATGCCCTCTAGAAGCATCAGGGCTTGAGTGGGATTGCTTAGTGGTTGACCCTTGCCTGGGGAGGTGGAGGCATGAGGATGGTTGGCTGCAGAACTGATACCTTCTATATATAGTAAATAGTTCCCACATGTTTGGCTCTTCCCTATGGAAGAAGCACTCTCCATGCCCCTTTGAAAGCTTTTTACTCCCTCAGTACTGGGGTCTTCTTGCACAGTTGTGTTGGTCAGCAGATTCTGAGTGCACAAGCTCCATGGTGGGCCCTGGTGTGGGGGAGACGCATGGCTTCTGTTCTGAGTTCACTGGAGGGAAAAGAAAAAGCACTGAAGAAACCTTCAGGATGGGAGGAGGGTGAAGCTGCAGTCAGCATTCCATGGGCTCACCCTCCCTTGGGCCCGCCCTCACCATCCTGCCAACATCCCCGGCGAATGTCACCCCCTTGCTTGCCCGCTGCTCCTGGGAGCCGGTGCTGCTGCCACTCAGGGAGTTCCTTCGCATGATGCCTGGGTGCAGGATGGGGAGGGATAGCACTGAATGAGGGAAGGGGCCATGGGGAGAGGGGGGCTAGTCCCCCCCCAAACCAAGGGGCAGACCCCCAGGGCCTGGAAGAAAGCCAGATCAGTAGGGAAGGGGGCCCAGGAAAGATGGGAGCTGGGCCACTGCAGTCTCACCCGGGCCTAGGGGCTCGGAGCGCTGCAGGCTGTTGCGGCGGGAGGTAGGGAAGCTGCCCTTAGAGAGGCGGCGCTGGCGGCTGGACAGCATCGCAGCTGGGGCCACTATTCCTGGTGGGGGCTGCTTCCCAAGCCGGCTGTACAAGTCCTCAATTTCCTTCTTCTGTAGGGTCTGTAGTGCCTCCACCTCTGACAAGTGCCTAAGGATGCACCAGGAGCATGAGTGCTAGCCACACACTTTACTCTCCCAAGTCCACCTCTTTTGTCTTTCCTCCCCAGACTCACTTCTGCCGAAGGCTCTGCAGCTGAGCCCAGAATTCCTCATCCTCCCCACTGCTCTCGGATTCCTCACTGCTCAGACACAGGCTGCTGTAGGAGTAGTTCATCCATACCGGGCTGGGATGACTCTGGGGTGGGGGGCTGCCCCCCACTCGGGGTTCCTTCCCATCGTCCCCTTCCTCCTCAACTCCAGCCCCTAGGCCTTCGGCTGCACGGTCACTCTCAGCCAGAGCCTCCCTGGCCTCTGGCCCACTTCCAGCACTATCCTCTGTGTCTGAGCTCTCTGAGGTCAGCTGAGGGGTTGGAGGCTTCAGGGAACTGGAGAGAGTTGGGAATGCTGGTTGCAGGGGAAGAGGCTCAGCCGGTTCCTTGGATGAAGTCACTTGGAAACGCCCCACAAGCTGTGGCTTTCCCTCTGTAGAGCAAAAAGGAAGGAGTCATGAAAGGAGGGAGAGAAATTAGAGGCAAGATATGAAGTGGACTGAGAATAATGGGAAGGGGAAGATCAGAGGCCTCACCTTCAGAGATGGGTGCTAGTCTGGCTTCACCCAGGAGCGGCCAAGCAGGATTTGGTGGGGCCTACAAAGTGTGGGTCCATGAGGAGGGGAATGATCCAGAATGGAGCACCCCTCACCATCCCTCTTGGTTTCCTACTCACCTCACTCTCCATCTCAGCTGTTGGAGGTGAAGCCGCAGGGGGAGCGGGCAGGGGCAGGCTAGGTAGGGGACCAGGAGGGGCCACAGGGGACTGGGACAGGAGCCCAGGTGAGGGAGACAGCAGGGACTGGGCCACAGTCATCACAGCCAGCGAGAAGGCACTAGCCAGAGAGAGGAGAGGGGCTGCAGTGGTGGAGGGGAGGGGAGAAGTGGAAGGGCAGGAGAGGAAGGAAGGGGGAGAAAGAGCCGACTGGGAACAACTGGGAGAGGAGGCAGGTGAAGGGAGGATGGAGCTCTGCAGACAATGAGAGGTTGGGCCAGGGAACTGGGCAGCACTGGGAGAGAATCCAAGCAGAGAGTTTGGGGAGTGTTGGGGGAGATTTGAAGAGACTTGGGAGAAAGGGGAAGGGCTGGGGTAAAGGGAAGAAGTGATGGGGAAGATGGGACTTGGGGAAACAGGGGTTTCTGGGGTTCCAGGGGAAAACAGGTTTCCAGGAGACAAGGGGGTTCCAGGAGAAGATGAGGAGGTAGAGAAGGCTGCCCAGCTCCGCTGCTCCAGGGAAGTGCTGCTCTGGAGCTCTGCTGTTGAGGAAGGAGTGTTGAGCTCCCAGTAGTCATTCCCTACTCCCTTCCCAGAAGCAACCCCAAGGGTTGCAGGGAATAGGGACAAAACTCAGTACATACCACAGGATTGGTCTGGAAGGGGGCTTGAAAGGGCAGGCAATGGTACTGGCTCCTCCTGAGGGACAAAATGGGGCCCACAGTTACAGTGGGGGAGAGCTGAGTCTTAGGTGGGATCCATGAACCTCTAGGAGTCCATAGAGGACTTTCAGGGGACACAAAAGTGTATGTGCTAAAATAATTACAGGTAAAGGGGTATGATGTCTACAATTTACTCTCAAGTGGTTCAGAAAAAAATAATACAGATAGAGAGGGGAGGGAGGAAGACAGCAACAAAACTAACATGACCAAACACTAACAACTGGCAAATGTGGGCAAAGGGTATCTAGGAGTTCTTAGTACAACTTGCAACTTCCTTCTGTAAGTCTGAAATTCTATCAAAATAATGAGTTAAAAAGAAAAGTATGTGTTGAACACAATTTTCTAGAACAAGGGCCCATGGCTTTCATCAGATTCTTAAATGGGGTAAAGCCATTGTCTTAGAGGTCCCAGAGATGAAGGAGTTAGAGCCAAGGGGAGTGGTGAAGGCAGTGAATCATGACATCTGGAGCAGAGAGGTGGAAGTAGCCTGAGGGGTCTGACCTGGGGGCCCAGGGGGTCCTCAGCAGCCTCCACAGGGCCAGTATCTCTCTTCAACAGGGTCTCCACTCGCTGGATAATCTCCCGAATACGGCTCAGGAAGCCGGCTCGCTCCGAGGGCAGAATGAACTCGTTA